AGGATGCCATAAAGATCCTGACTTAAGTTTTATAATTTTTATTGCATTTTAAAACAAACAAGCGCGAATGAAATATTAGATTCAGTAATTAATAAAAGGAAAAACATAGAAATAATGTGAATGCTAAAATCATCAAATAAGACCAAGGCTTTGAAATATAGAGTGGTTTACGATTTCGCCTTGGAGTTAAGTTGATCGATGCAGTTTTAAAAGTACCTTACCACAACCATTTCAACGGAAAAGAACTTGATTTGGAATAGATATAAATAAAAGAAGAAAAATTTTCCCTTGTTGATCATAAATCTTGTATTATTATTTACTCTCTTAATATATCAGGTTGCGAGTGGGAGACCTGGGGACCATGGGGAGAGTGTAGTGATACCTGTGGTGAGGCTACCAGGAACAGATACAGGTAAATTATGATTCTTAAAGGCTTAACATATATGTATTTCTTTTACTGGTTATTTTGTGACAAGAGAAATAAGGCAAAAATACGGAAATACCATAAATAAAATACAACACGTTTTTTCTTTACTTTTCGTTCCGCTTTTTAAATTTGTACATGACATATATAATTATTCCTTTTGTACTGTAGAATTTTGATGAATGGCGATCCATACACATGTGGTGAGAAGGTTGACACAGAGGATTGTCCGAGAAAACCATGTCCAGCCGATTGCGTCATTCGCGGCCAACCGTATCACATTGGTGACGTCACTAAAGAAGAAGGCTGTGAGGTCTGTCACTGCACAACAAAGGGAGAACTTTGCGAAAATGATACACATGCCATTGGTGTGTATATCTTACTTTCTTTGTCCCACGCATTATTCTAACCTTCTTATGCGCGTATTAATTTCACCAATTTTATTAATTTCACCAATTGCGTCATTTCCGGAGATAGCATTAATCATGTATTTGTGAAAATTCAGGTTCGAAATTACATACAAAATATGTAACGAGTTTTCACTGTACATCCCCCGTGCCTGCAATGTGATAACAAAATAGTTATGTTTTATTCATACTTCACTGTTTCTTTTCAGTTGACGGTAACTGGTCCGAATGGAGCTCGTGGAGCACGTGCAGTAGAACGTGCGATGGCGGCGTAACCAATAGATACAGGCAATGTAATGACCCACTTCCTCAGTGTGGTGGCGCACCATGCAAGGGACGTAACTCTGACAATAAACCATGCAACAGTGATGTGTCTTGTGAGTTTATAAGAATTACATGTATGAGTAATGTCAAACGAATTGCAGAATATCATAATAGTAATAATATAATTAAAATGCAAAATGCACCAGTTATGTATACATATCTGTTCTGTTCTACAAACACCACGATGTCCTAGAAAGATGTCCTAGAAACGATGTCCTAGAAACGATGTCCTAGAAAAGCCTTAAACGATTATGATTGTAGCCTATAATTGTATTAAAGATTATTTTGTAAAGCTATAATTAAAAAACTGAGAGGGATGCGTATAGATGTAATAATCATTAGATCACAAATTGACTTAATACATGTACAAATGTAATCTTCGACGTTATAATTATATAAAATATTACTAAAATAGCAAAAGTTTGAGATAAAAAAAATAAAACAGGGTAAGTTCAGATTTTTTGGAAAAATTCGATTTAAAAGAAAATTTCAATCGGTGAAGAAGACTTTGATAGGCGTCCCTTAAATCACTGCTAAATTCCAAGGAAATCATAAACTTTTGCACGTCTCGTATGTTTTATGTGTTACAGGCTGTACAGTTTCCGCCTGGAGTGTATGGTCTGAATGTTCTACCACGTGCGGAAGAGGAACCAGGACACGTGCACGTGAATACGAAAATGGCGCCAACAGTGACAATTGTGCCAAGGTCTTACAAGAAACTGAATCTTGCTTGGAGCACGAGTGTGACAGTAAGTAATATTTATAATACAAATACGTATTCATGAATATTTCATTGTTATATGGAGTAGGAAAATTACTAAAATTCATAACATAAAAAGTGAAATATGATATACAATTAATCTAATAATCTTGTTACAGTGAAATGTAAGTGAAATATGATATACAATTAATCAAATAATCTTGTTACAGTGAAATATAAGTGAAATATGATATACAATTAATCAAATAATCTTGTTACAGTGAAATTTAAGTGAAATATGATATACAATTAATCAAATAATCTTGTTACAGTGAAATTTAAGTGAAATATGATATACAATTAATCAAATAATCTTGTTACAGTGAAATGTAATGTTACCCAATGGTCGGACTGGTCGGATTGCTCCGAGGATTGCGGTGTTGGCCGAAAGACCAGAACCAGACGCATTCGTGGACCGGAACTTCCGGATTGTCCAGACCTCAACGATTCTGCCTTATGCTATAAGAAAGCATGTCGTAAGTTTTACAAACATTTTTACTACTATTAGATAACCTATTTACAGAGTTAAATCACAAAATGCTATGAAATGCTTACGAAAAGAATAAAAAAATATCTGGATATTGTCGTGTTCTGAGGTTTTTTATTTTTTATTTATATTTATTAGTAAGAGTATAAGATGGGTTCATTAAATACATGTCTTTACTAATGTTAATAATAAGTTTTATGACTTCCATACTTTGCAGTGTCTTCATTAAAGATTTTTACAATGTTGCTAATGGATTATTTTGCTCGGCTTTTTTGTATAAATCGCCTCTACGAAAATAAAATATTCTTAGGGGTTTCTTTTGCGTTCACAAATTAGCAAAGGCTCTTATTTTTATCAAAAAAGGCTGCGGACCTAATGAAGAATATTCCAACCACACGTTGTGTGAGCACACTTGTGAGAACAGACTTAGTGGAGTACCTGAAAACTGTGAGGAGAAACTCAAGGACGGCTGTGTCTGCGAAGATGACTACTTCCGTGACGAGAACGGTGATTGCGTAAAAGTTAACGAGTGTGACAAATGCTTTGTTGACGGTGAATATAAGAAGGTAAATGTTATTTTTATAGCAATAAAAGTTGAGCCATTTTATAATGAAATAAAGGAGTTGTAAACGATAAGAAAGCATTCAGTCCGTCTGACGGCTTTTAGTTTTCATCTAAGTTTATGTATTGAACTATTAAATATGTATAAAAAGATAAACGCAAATATTCAATTAATGTGTTACATTAAATCTAGCTCACCTGACATTTATTTTTGACAATTATTCAATGTGTTTGTTGTTACAGTCTGGCGAGACCTGGCCATCCGAGGACAACGAATGTTCCGTCTGCGAGTGTATTGCCGGAAGTGTTAAATGTACGCCTGTTTGTGAAATACCCGAATGTGGAGAGGTAGGCATCCCATTATTATTTTTTTCTTTATTCTTTTTAATTTTATTTTTTTTAAGAAAAGATCATTATTTCTTGCATTGTTTTGTAAAAGCGTTAAATTGAATTCCACTTCTTTCACATTATTCCTGCTGAATTTGTTCGATAAACTTGACCAGTATCTTTATATGGAGTTGTCCATTTACACTTTGGGGGATATCCAAATGAAAATTTAAAGTCAGCCAACCGTATAGAGCCTGATCAGACTGCATGAATGTGCATGCTGGCCTGGCTTTATACTGGTGGCAAAGGCTAATCACTTTCAGTTAAAGCAGGTTAAGATTTTCTCACAGTCACACACTAAATGTATGTTTGAATTTCAGGGTGAAGTACTCAGCTACGACGTACCAAACCCATGTTGCCCAAGATGTGTTGAACGTACAGGTAAGGCATTGTTACACAAAAAACAACATAAAATTAAAAATATTATATGGTGCTAGTTTCTCTTGTCTCCTTGGTGTCACGTGTAAAACCAGCATAGTATAGTTAAGACAGCGAAGTCGGTTATTTAAACACAATCAAAATTAAATCCATTGCTTAAACTTGACCTTTTGCAGAAATAATCGTGAGTCAAAACTTGTGAGCGTTTAAAGTGAATTGGTCTACAATGGGCCATTAGATTTTCCATTAGAATTTCAAATATAGATAAAACATAAAATCATAAACATTATCTTAACCACATCTTTTTACTCATTTCAAGATTCGTGCACATTGTACAAACGATCCGACTACCTGGAGGATCCAAGCCATTTCTGTCGGTCCGTATCCAAGATAGAGTTCACATATTGCGAGGGATCATGCGGTAACAGTACCTCGGTCCCAATGCTTCTAGCCAAGACCGACGCCATGCTTGACAACGAGTGCAGGTGAGTTTAAAGTTTCTGATATTTCCGGAGCTTATTTCTAAACGAGAAAAAAAAAACACAGAAAAAATTAATTAAATGAAATGTTTTTGGATGTCCAAAAGCAGATAAAGTTATACTCCTGATCGCCCATTGTCCAACAAATTTTATTTTGTAAACACTTCGAACCACAAGAGTAAGACTTTCAGGAGAGAGTTTCATATAAGCTTTAAACTTTCTACTCAATCCTGGTTGTAATTTATGTATTGAAATTTTGTTTGAAATATGAAGGAAGAAGAAATGGATATTGTTAAAACCAAAACAAGAGTAGAAATATATAGCTCATTTTAGAAAGCCAGCCAATGTTCCAAGGGAATGTTGGAGAAAAAGATTTTTAAATCAAAATGCAAAAAAGCCAAACAAACTCGAATTTCAAGAGCAAAACTAGTTCAAAAATATAAAGGGTCAGAGTTGAAGAAGGTTCACTTCTTGAAACTATTTTAAGATTCCTAAAGCTGTCTCACAATCAATGCGAAGTAAATATGGAGACATAGATTGTTAGTGCTGATCACTTCGGTGTTGAACTTTGGTCCTGAATGCTGAATGTCTGAACACTAAGATTACCTAACGAACTCTTTTGCACTTATGTACATGCCATATACTTGAACAAGTATTCCATATGTATAGAATAATCGTAAACATATTTCGAGAATTTTGCTTGAGCAGCACAGTAACGTTGATCAATAAATGGCAAATGTGCATTGATTCCTCATCATTTTGTCAATTTAAACTTCCAAAATTGACATAACTATAATAGATTTTACTAACTTTTGGCTGTTTGTTACGTCATCAGATGCTGTACGGGTGACGTCAGAAGTTACAAGGAAGTGAACGTGCTCTGTGGTGAAGGTAAATCTCAGAAATTGAAGACCATGTTCGTTCCTGTAATAGCTGCGTGCAGTTGTCAAGTTTGCCAAGGAGTTGCCAGACCTCGTGAGTGACACTATTTTCTTTACATTTTACCTGTGAGTCATAAAATATACCAGATATATTTTATAACTAAAACACTGGAAAATATGCAAAGTATAGTGACATTATTCATTTCATTTTAAAGTAGTGATAATTCCATCTTTAAATGTTTGTCAAAATTCAGCAAAATACGTTGGTTTGGAAATATGAAAAATATTCTCATTGCCTGAGTAATCTTGTTACCATGATTATGTAATGCCAAAATAAGGCAAAGTAGAATTTTATTTTACAAGATACGTTTACATATATCAAATGCACATAAGATAGTATTTGTAATTTCACTTTTTTATTAAAACGATTGTTATTACGTCATGTGAAAGAAAAATTACTTAACTTCTTCCTTATCTACTAATTTCATAAATATATCAATGATAATGATGATAATCGTAACGATGATGATAATGATGATGATGATAATGACTTACATAATCTATTTTGTTTAATTTCAGAAAATGGACCGTCCAAAGGAAAATAGACTAACCACGAATAATCAACCAAGAATATACCTAAACCCCGATCGACCTACCATGGACCGTTATAACCGACTATGATTTTAGCCAATTTTATATATTATGACTTACCGATGCCGACCAAGAAATGCGATAAACTTTCTCCTGTAAATAGTCCCCCTGCAAAGATGAAAAAATACAAAAAATAATCCCCCAGTGATAAAAAAAAGACATTGTACATAGTTAAACAAAAAAATGTGTAAAAAATACAAATTTAAAGATGGCATTATAAAATAAATGAAAAAAAAATAATAAAATATAAAAAATAGAAATTGTTTGTTTTTATTTTTTGTCATAGTATTAAGGTGTTTATAATCCGGAATAAAAGCCTGTATCCTGATATTTAATCACAGAAACATGAAATTTAGATTATCACAGCGCCTTTAACCCATTACTTCATATACACGCCTTTTAACGCCTTTTTCACCCCCCCCCCCTTTTGTTGTCTCAAATGATGAAAAAATACCTTATTTAGGCCCCAAACACTTGTTTTTGTTTGAGAAATGTTGTTAAAAAAAGTGACCCTTTTTTCGGCGCGGCCCCCCAACCAAAAGATACATCAGGGGGTTGCCAGAAGGGGGATGTGCCCCCTTCTGTTTGGGGGGTTTGAAGGGGGGCGGAGTCCCCCTCCTCGCCAAGAAAATTTTGGACTTGTGAGAGGCTGTAAATGACCCCAGATTGATCATAAGGTAACGTGTAACCAACGCTGAAAAGCATTTGACTCTATCTCAATCCATTGAGAAGTTGCAGCACTTTGAAATCAATTTTGATGGAAAAAATCAACGCAAAATAGTGATTTTTGGCAATTTTGAGATGTCCCCTCGTTGCCATGGTAACAGAAAATTTAAGCCTGAGCATGTTGTTGCAAGGACAATGGTCCAGTCAACATTTGTGCCAAGTTTGATTAGTGTTGAAGCAGTTTTTATAGTATTATAGCAATTTGAACTTGTAACGGGAGACTTTTCAATGAAAACAGCCATTTTTCACAAAATGCTCATGAAGCAATGGGTTAAAACCAATACAAAAAATGTACTATACTTTCAATTATTTGGAAGACGATATCGAAAGTGAATAACAGCATGAAAGTGCTTTTGACTTGCATTCAAACTTACCTGTACATAGAACTAGCATTAGATATCAAAGTACGCCAGAAACAACAACGTAAAGCGCCGTATTTTTGAAAATTGCACATTTTATGACGCGTAATATGACGTCAACACACGGCGTAATCCAGTTCCTTCCTAAAACACGTGGTTATTGGTTAACTGCATTATGTCCTGCACCTATGACCTTCATAAAACATATGCTGAACCAGTCAGCTTCATCCTAGTGTGTTGTTTGTTTTAAATGAAGCGTAAATATTTTCCTTAAAGTGGCATTAAGCCCATTCAAAGATATATAATGAGTGAACAATTGAAAGTCAAAAATAAATAACATTTTGCCATAATTCCATTCAATTTTATAACTTACTTTACATGAATGAAAGATAACTCACGTGTCGCAATGAAAGTTTTGTAAAGATGTATCGGAGTTGACATGTAACTTTCAATTTATAAAAAGAGTGGGGCAGTCTTTTAATGTATCTTTAGCAGATTATATTTATCCTGAACATTAACAACTGTTGGTCAATCACCAATATAACGGTCAATCTTTTGAAATGAATCAACCTCAACTTGAATAAGAAACAAATGAGCATAATGTCACTTTAAGTAAATTGAATGTTTGCTTTCTTAACATAGTGGATTAACCAAATATCTCGATGTTAAATTGTTTTGTAAAATGGAGAGGACATCCTCATATAGCATTAAATTGCTATACAAAAAGTAAATTGAAATATGTTACTGAAGACAAACACTGAGATAGTTTTCGGGAAAAACCTCATTGACAAAAGGAAGGAAGTTTGCAGCAGTAAAATCTACAAAATTTAGAATCCATACTGGACTGATTTTACTTTCCCGTCCACGTAGTTTCAGAATACCTGAGATTTCACACCAGATGCCCACGGTATTGGTCATATGGCTACTTTCCAGCTTCATTGATGGCAGAAGACCCTCAGATGCCCTTAGGTGCATTATTTTAGGCACAGGCGGGCACTTGGGTAGAACCACCGACGTTCCGGAAGCTCACAAGAAAGAGACCAAAGTCCCTGTCGGGATTACTGTACTAAAATGAAATAACATCATTCTATCAATCCAGTGCATTTTAAGTAAATGTAAATGTCCAGAAAAATATAGAAACAAAATCTAGAAATGTCAATAATATCATTGGTATTTTTCTTATAATCAAAATAAATACCAAAACATGAGTAGAAAAAAACAGTGTACATTAGCACGAATACACATTATACCTGTATTTCATATCCTGTCATTATTTATGAGAACGACTGGTTTCTTACAGAGTCTGTCATATACTTGGCAGCAATTATTCTGTATCAGTATTCGCTTGATTATCCACTGACAATACCATTCAACATGAATGTGAAAGTACAACACTTGAAAACATTGAAAATTAAGCGATAACAAATGCGGTAACAAATGCAGAAAATGTGAAGGGTTGTGCAATTAAATTAAAAAATCCGAACACACTTAAATTGTCTCGCGACTAAAGGACATTTAGGTTAATTTATAAAAGTAAAAACAACACAATAAATCCTTCGTTCGACGAGGGGCAGATAAAGCCTTTCAGGTACCAAAATGTGTATCAGCTAATTCACTACAGTGTCACGCCCGGCAAACTGTCGCTCCACTTCAAAATTGTGGTGTACGGTAAAACGAGCGAAAGGCATTTCCGAGATAGAGCGGAAGGCCGATTTAAACGCCTAGTTGTAAGTATTGTTTATGTTTTGGTCTTGTAATTAATTTAAGTTGTATTTTTTCGAAAAACGGAAAATGTAGTTCCGTGTAGGATTGATTAAGACTTCCAATGATCTAAGCTGTTACAAAAAGAATATTATATTAAGCCCGGGAGAACTTTTCTCCCTGACGAAGCGAACAATGATTTGTAGAATATTGAACTTCCCAACCATAGAAATGCCATACCCTTCAGATTTCTTGAAAAAGTGTATTAGTAAATTATCAATCCGTAATAAGAACTTGTCCTTCGTACAACATAAATTACTCCTGAAGGATTTCTTAAATTTGTAAATAGATATTTTTCGAAAGTAGTTGAGCGAAAGGGCAAGAGATGTAGCAAAAGGTTCGATGTTGAGCGCAAGGCGATATTAATTTGACGTATTAGAGAGGAGCGTAGTCTATGATTTTTTATATATAAAAGCTAAAGAAGTTAAAATAGACATGATCAAGTGTTAAGACCGAGATATATACAAATTTATATACCTTTTAAAGACAACTAATAAAGTGTGATATCCTTTCAACGACTATAGCGTAATAAATGTAATCGCGAAGGTGTTACCTATGGCTGCCGTGTAGATTCCATTATTTATGTTCGAAATTTGGAATGAGGCCGACCCTTGAAACAACCATTAGCATGGATAATACAGGGTGCCACTTATTCTAGGTCAAATGATTTTTCATACGGGTTTTGAAAAATTTAAAAAAATGTGTCCCTGCAAATTCGCAAAACGAATTTTTTCAGTTGTCCCCCGAAAAAATGTTTTCCCAGCAGGGAAAATGTACGTGTAACGGGGATTTTCCGCCAAAAATGTTATGTTTTTTGAAAAATTTGATTTCGGTCAGAAAGAAAAAAAATTTTGCAAAGCTGGAAACCCTTAAAATTTAAAAAATTTTTAAAAACGAGTTCGTTTACAAGATTTCTGTCATTAAAAACTCTAACGTAAATGTTAGAGAAACCAAAAAAGCCAGTTTCATGAAATTTGGGAAAGGGTTGGGAAGCTATGAAAGGTTGAAAGGTGTCGTTCGTTATAAGGATATAACACGTGTTCCAGTTATGTTTCAAGATACTTCCTCCCTTATTTAGCATTGTTGTTTAGTTTTTATTTTCCTCTCAAAGTGTAAATAGAAATGTTAACTTTTATAATCAAACACTGCAGTACAAATCTTGGTTTAAGAAAAAAATAAGTTAAAATAAATATCTAAGATTTAGTTTGTTTATCTATGCACAAAACGAACGTAATAAAAAAGGCAGAACGGACTAAAATTATCAATAATATAATAGACCTAGTTATAGTAGAAATTTCTATTTGTTCGCGGTACAACTGAAAATATTTGATTTTGTCGAATTTGCACGGACACACGTTTTTAAATGTACATAACCGTGTGAAAAATCATGATTGACCTCGAATAAGTGGCATCCTGTATTATGCCATGCAAACATGTGTATGATTCAATGGTCGGGCCTCATCCAAATTTCGAACATAAATAATGGAATCTACACGGCAGCCATAGGTAACACCTTCGCGATTACATTTATTACGCTATAGTCGTTGAAAGGATATCACACTTTATTAGTTGTCTTTAAAAGGTATATATATATCTCGGTCTCAACACTTGATCACGTTTATTTAAACTTCTATAGCTTTTATATGTAAAAAATCATTGACTACGCTCCTCCTAATACGTCAAATAAATATCGCCTTGCGCTCAACATCGAACCTTTTGCTCCATCTCTTGCCCTTTCGCTCCACTACTTTCGAAAAATATCGATTTACAAATTTAAGAATTCCTTCAGGAGTATTTATTTTGCACGAGGGACAAGTTCTTATTACGGGTTGATAATTTACTTATACACTTTTTCAAGAAATCCGAAGGGTATGGCATTTCTATGGTTGGGAAGTTCAATATTCTACAAATAATCGTTCGCTTCGTCAGGGAGAAAAGTTCTCCCGGGCTTAATATAATTTTCTTTTTGTAACAGCTTAGATAATTGGAAGCCTAAATCAATCCTACACGGAACTACATTTTCCGTTTTTCAAAAAAATACAACTTAAATGACTAACAGACAAAAACATAAACAATACTTACAATTAGGCGTTTAAATCGGACTTCCGCTCTATCTCGGAAATGCCGTTCGCTCGTTTTACCGTACACCACAATTTTGAAGTGGAGCGACAGTTTGCCGGGCGTGAGTGTGTAATGCATAAAAAATGCATGTTAATAAATTGAACACCCCCAGCACCGTGGCATACCGGGAGTATCTCCCCTTGCCTTGGTCTTAAGTGAATGATTATATCAATCTGCATAGAATAGAGAGTTTATTCATAAAAATATGTCTTTAAGGGCACAATATATTTCATATTTCATATAGAAAATTTAAAATGTCATTGAAGGGAATTACAGACTGTAACAGGTATATA